CCCCAAAACCCCAAAACCCCAAAACCCCAAAACCCCTTGACAGAATGGCTTAATTGAGGAGGATTTATTCAGTAAAAATCATATTAAAGCTTCTTTTGTACCACTGAGAGCCTTCTTCGTTTCCATAATGTCCAGGACCAGGGTTTTCAATAGCTTTGGGACCATCAAATCTGGATGAGGAAATCAGAAAATTCTGATCCTTTGCTTTGGAGGTTTTAGGCTTGCTCTCATCAAATGTAGCTTTGTACTCATAGTAACCTGGGGCAAGCCATGCATCAGTCTCATTGACTTTGGAAGTGAAGCGTTTTGATTGAGAAGAGAAGGGAATATTCACCTTTGTCTTCGCTTTTAGATTAGCTAGAAGAGGGTTCTCAAAACCCACACCAGCCTTTTTCTTGATGTTTTCTTCGATGGTGTGCTGCTTGACTTCGTAAGTACCTACCGAAGGCTCTTTGGTCTTTTTCTTCTTTTGATTGTAAGGGTTTCTTGGAACAGATGACAGGAAAATTGATGATGACTTTTTGTTACCAGCACCTCCTTTCTTTTTATCAAGTAGTTTAATATTATTTTCTGGTTTGTATTGGCCAGGACCAGGAGTTGTAACTGATTTTGAACTGACAAATCTCTTTTCTGTTGTTCCGAAGGCTTTGCTTTTAGTAAAAGGGATCATTCTCTTCTGCTCAACTCCCAGTTGTCTTTCCCCTACCGAGTATGATCCTGGTCCAGGTTCTTCTCCAGCTGTTTTCTTACCAAAGCGATTGCCTGATGAACTGAAAGGTGGCCTTCTAGACTGATAATGTGTAGAAGCACGAGTTTTTGCTGTTCCAGGAACTTCGTAATTATAACTACCAGGACCAACTTTAGACTTTTTCTTGCCTTCTCCTTCAAATCTGGCAACAGTCGATCCAAAAAATTGTTTCCTCCTTGGTGCAATATTTTGGTTGAAAGAAGAAAGATTCTCATGGTTAATATAACATCCTGGGCCTCTTTTATCATCTTCATCACTACTAAGATCCTCTTCAAAATGGCCAACCTTTGGCTTGGTTAAATGTTGATATGCAGTGATTGGTCGAGAATGGCCTACAACAAGATTTCCTCTCTTTCTCTTCTTTATTTGTACAGATGTAGCTCTCTCCACTCTTGAGGCAAAGACTGAGCTTTGTTTGTATTTGTATATTGGGAAAATATCAGATTTTTCAACTTGGTAGTGTCCTGGGCCAACAGCTTCAATTTGCTTTGATTTCTTTGTTTTGAACCTTTTAGTCTGTGCCTTCTTCCACTGGATAGCCCCTTTCTTGTTAGTAGAAATTCCATTTGGAAGTTCATACTGACCTGGGCCAACCCTATCCTCTTTTACTCCTGTTGTGACCTTTTCAGGATTCTTCTGTTTCTTTAAGACTCCTGCTTTAGTCTCTTCGTAGCCAAACACATTTTCATGGGATGGAATTGAAGGAGCATTTGGAGGCCTTTCCCATTGGATTGGTTGAAAGTGAGCCTTTGGAACAGGCTTAACTTGCTTTATCCAGGTATCTTCTGGGACATATCTACCAGGGCCTAAGTTCAAATTTTCTTTGTTTTTGCCATTAAATCTCGGAACTTTTGAAGCAAAATTTGAAGTTTGCTTAATCCCTTGTACGTTTATCTGATCAACTCCCATTTCTTTTTGTTGTTTAAAAGAAACTGATTCTTGCTGTATTCTATCAAATCCTGCATTGAGGTGGCTATAAGTTAACATAATTAAAAGTTCAAGCTTATTAACAAAATAAGGCTGAAAATGTAAGTTTGGATTCATTTTCTAATTTATGGATGAGATAGTTGCAGAAGTAAAAAATGAGTTGAATTTGGGGCAAGAAACCAAGCTTACTTTGAATTGCTATAAGTTCCTGGCCCTGGATTATAACTTGAGGATTCCATTGTTTTCCTCTTTGATGTCGCATTAAAAGGAGCATTGCTTGGCTTAGCTTGCTTGGATGCTATATTATTGTTAGTATCAATTCATTTCTTTCACTTTAAAATTATTTTGGACATGAAATAATGAAAACTTTTGAATTTTATATTCACTATGAGATTTTGAATATTTTTTAGAGTGAAAATGAAAATAAAAGCATTTTGAAACAATGGCAAGCTATTAGAATACTTACAAACACCAATGTAAGAGCCAGGTCCAAGACTTGGATTACTCTTGGATGCTAAGGTCTCTCTTTCTGATCGAAAAACAAAAGCCATTCTTATTTAAAATAAATTTTGATAAAATATTAATTTCAATTTAAAATATTAAAGCAGGGGTTTTGGGGTTTTGGGGTTTTGGGGTTTTGGGGTTTTGGGG